AACCCTTGCCCAGCCAGTGCTGCTCAGTGGATTGTGAGTCGTCCCATGGACTGAGAATTCCCAGTTCAATTCCTGGTCAGGCCACATGCCTAGGTTGTGGGCTCGATCCCCAGTGGGAAGCATGCAGGAGGCAGTCAATCGATGTTTCTCTTTCACATCAATGTTTCTATCTCTCCCATCCTCTCTTTCTAAAAAATCAATGAAAACATATTTTTAAAAAATAATTAAAGATATATAACCCTTAAAACCCTAATGTGTGGGCACTCAGACTAGCTGAGTTGCTCGCTTGTGCTCTATGCCAAGTGTATCCTTAATAAATTTGCTTGCTTTTCTTCAACACTGCTTTCTTTCACTCATCTAAATTCTTTCTTGAGCTGACAAGAGCCAAGGAGAGAAGAGCTGAGCCCTCTCTCTCTGACTTGGCTGATTCTCTGGTAACAAAAGGGGAAAAGCTCCATTAGATTTGGGAATGATTTTTGTGGATATGTCCTGAAAGCACAGGTGACAAGGTTAAAAATAGATAAATTAGACTTGATCAAATTAAAAATTTTTGTGCATCAAAGGATACTACCAACACAATGAAAAAGAAACCTTGCCCTTGTCTGTTTGGCTCAGCGGTTAGAGCATCAGCCTGCTGACCAAAGAGTTGCAGGTTTGATTCCAATCAAGGGCACATACCTTGGTTATGGTTTCCCAGGCCCTGGTTGGGGTCATGCGGGAGGCATCCAATCAATGTGTCTCTTTTACATCAATGTTTCTCTCTCTCTCCCTTCTTTCCTCCCACTCTATCTGAAAATCAATGGACAAAATATCCTTGGGTGAGAATTTTTTTTTTTGTTTTTTGTTTTTTTTATCCTCACCCGAGGACATTTTTTGATATTTTGTTCAGATAGAGTGAGAGGGAGAGAGAGAGAGAGAGAAACATCGACGTGAAAGCAACACATCGAGTGGTTGCCACCCACACGACCCAACCAGGGCTGGGGACAAACTGCAACCAAGGTACATGCCCTTAGCGGGAACAGAACCTGGGTCTCTCCAGACTGAAGACCAACGCTCTAACCGCTGAGCCAAACTGGCCAGGGCCTTGGGTGAGAATTTTAAAAAAAAGTGAAACCTACAGAATGAGAGAAAACATTTACAAATCATATATTTGGTAAGGGATTAATATCCAGAATACATAAATAATTTTTTCAACTCAACTAACAAAACAACAGCAACAAACCTGACCAAAAATTGAGCAAAAGACTTGAATGGACATTTCTCCAAAGAAGTTATGCTAATGTACAATAAGCACCTGAAAAGATGATCAACATAACTATAAAATAGGGAAATACAAATCAAAACCATATTGGCATACCACTTCATACTTGCTAAATGGATATATAAAAAAACAAACAAAAAACCCCAGAAACTAATAAGTGTTGGCAAGAATGTGGAGAAATGACAACCCTTGTGGACTGCTGGTGGGGATGTGAAATGGTGCAGCCGCTATGGGAAACAGAATGGCAGTTCTTCAGAAAATTAAACACAGAGCCCTGGCCAGTGTGGTTCAGTGGATTGAGCATCATCCCATGGACTGAGAGGTCCTGGTTCAATTCCCAGTCAGGTTGTGGGCTTGATCCTGAGTAGGGGTGTGGAGGAGGCAGCTGATCGATGTTTCTCCCTCACATTGATGTTTCCATCTCTCTCTAAAAAATATATAAAAACATATTTTAAAAAAATCAAACACAAAATTTCCATATGTTACAGCAATTCCAGTTCTGGGTATATATCCAATAGAGGTGAAAGCAAGGAATTGAACACATATTGGTACACACACCCATATTCACAGCATTAGTCACAACAGCCAATGGTGAAAGCAACCTAAGTGTCCATTGACCAATGAATGGATACACAAAATGTGGTATATATACAAAGTGAAATATTGTTCAGCTTTAAAAAGATGGAAATTCTCACACATGCTACAATATACATGAAACTTGAAAACATTGAGCTTAGTGAAATAAGCCAGTCACAAGAGAAATACTGTATGATTCCTATAAGAAATACTTTGAATAGTCAAATTCATAGAGGCAGAACGGTTGTAATTAGAAACTGGGGGAAGAAGGAAATGGGGAGTTAGTGTTTGATGATGGGTACAGAGTTTCAATTGAGGAAGATGAAAATGTTCTGGAGATGAATGCTGGTGATGGTTGCACAACAATGTAAATGTACAGTAAGCCCTTGATTTTTGGAACCTTGATTTAATGGACTTCAGATTTAACAGACAAAATTCACTGTTATTTTTGACAAATTTTAGTGAATAGGCCATATGTTGGAAAAAACACTGTAGCAATTTTGCCTACATATATAAATATTACATATCTACAACTATAGTTTACATATTTAAATCCAAGAGTTACTGCTTGCAAACAATGTTCAGCAAATGATTAGCATGTGATCACACTGGTATTTGGTTCTGTTGTCACATGGTGTGACTTTCTGCAGCAGTTTTTATGCCTGCTGGCTGATCTGATAGGTGCTAAGCCAAGCCCCAGCTGTGTGCATTTGTTTACTTGTGGTGACTGGTGAACGTACACATTTATCAGACTTATTAAGTATAAATTTAAAATTACAGTAATACATATAGAAAATTTTTCTGTGAAATTAACTTTTCATGCATACTTAATTTTAATTACTTAAACATGTCTATATAAGTAAAAACAGATAAACTAATTTGTCAGTTGTTTAATATATGCATTCAGAAAACTTACTTTATTATATAATGGACTTTTGGTTTTAATGGACACCCCATCACCTGAATTAGTCCGTTATATTGAGGTTTTACTGTACTTAATGCCACAGAACTATATAATAAAAGATGGTTAAAATGTTAAAGTTTATGTTATGCATATTTTACAACAATAAAAAAAACTAAAGTTTTTGAGTTTAATAACAAGGCAGAAGAAAAACACTAGATAACAACAAAGCATGGACACCAGCAGGAGAATTTAGAATTTGTGTTGTAAGATCTTTTTAATATTTGGAAGGAGGTTATAGGTGTTGATTAATTTTGGACTTTGTAAACTTATGTGTATATTAAAATGTTAAAAATGACCATAAAAAATTGAAAATAAAATGTATGATTTTCACCCTGGCACGTGTAGGTCAGTGGTTAGAGCATTGGCTGGAGCACTGAAGGGTCATGAGTTCGATTTCCTGTCAAGGGCACGTATCTGGGTTGCAGGTTCGACCTCCAGCATCAGTCAGGGTGCATGCAGGAGGCAACCAATCGAGGTTTCTCATCTGTCACATCAATGTTTCTCTCTCTCTCTCTCTCTCTCCCTCCCTCCCTTCCACTCTTTTTAAAAATAAGTGAAAAAATATACTCAGGTGAGGATTAATAAAAACAAACAAAAGTTATGATTTTCAAACCTCTCAAGGAAAAGTTCCAAGCAGATCATACTATTATAGTAAACTATTCTATTTACAGTTAATATTTACATCCTAGCAAAATCCATGGAAAAATACATACCAACTTTTAGAAAGGGAGAAGGGTAAAAGTTTAGGTTGGGGCTTTATACTGTATCCAATACAATATTCCTATTAAAATATTCATATATTAAGATATATATTGTGGGTACATAATTGTCTGCTTTATTACTCTCTATACTTTTCCTTTTGTTTGAAATATAATATTTAGAGGTTAGAAATACATAAGGTATAAAAATTATATTATAAACTATTGTGTTTATTAATTTATCAGAAGGATGGCTAATCTTCAAACTTGTAAAAAATAGAATTAATCATAAATGAGGTACATAGCTAAAACTCGAAAATATCTCCAAGTTCTATGATTAAATTTAAAACATAAAAATTGACTTGAAATTAATATCTTCAGCAACAGTACTAAATCCTAGTATATTTCTATAAGAAAATATTTAAGCAGAAAAGGAAACACTGACAATACAAAAGGTAAAGAAAATGAACAAGAAATAACTAAAATATGATCAAAATAGCATTTTTAAATTAACATTAAAATGAAGTACCATTTTAGAGCTTATGAGTTTAGCAGGTGATTGCAAACACTGGAGCCAGTGTGAATGTGGAGAAAACAGAACATTTGCACACTGCTGGTATCTGCTTAAGTTGGCACACCCCTTTACACTAGCGATTGATTTGTGCCATATAAATTAAAAATATATCCTTTATTTATGCCATTTTGGGAATTTGTCCTGAGGAACCAATCCAGAAGGAAGAAAAGACTCAAATCTAAGGAGAGAGTCCTTGAAATATCACTGATCATGTAAATTGGAAGCTCCTAATGGCCTGATAATCAAATAATTCCTTAAATACCTTTTGCAGTCTTTTTTCATGATAATCACGAACCACAAGGTAACAGGTGTGTTACATAGAAACGCGGAAGAGACAGGGAAAGGAGCCAGAAACATTAAGAGCCCCGAATCAGGTTTGGACTAGGGTGAGGTGCCCAGACGCTCCCTCGGGAGCAAAATTTTGGGTGGGTACCGAAAAACTCAATAATCAAGGCGAGTAGTATTTTTAAAAAGACACGATGAAACTAAAAACGATGAAAAAAAGAAATCACTATTTTCAATACAATCAAGATCTGACTTCATTTGCGCCATCCTGACAGCGCCTCCCTTGCCTCTCCCTAATTTAGGCCAAGGATCCTGTTGTTTGGATCGATACTGTCTTCATCAATATTTTTGCATTGATTTTTAAATTAAAAAAAAAATATATAATGCATTCAACTATCATTTTCTCGAATTGAAGCCTCCTTAAAATGTACGCCCCAGGTGAGCGTCTCCACTCAGGCCCTGTGCAAAATCTTAACGCATGTGTTTAAAAGGAAGTGGACACGCTGGACGTGTGCATGTTTTTAAACCCACACGGCAAGTGCGGTTCCCCGCGATCCTTAGGCCAGAGCAGCGGCCCAGGCTGAGGCCGGGGCGCGTCGGGACAAGGTGTCAGAGGTTCCGGCCATCGCCTCGGGGCCTCACCATGAAGCGCAAGTTGGCCCCTTGGGGCCGGACGTTGCCTCGGAGTTCATTGTGGAGGTTCACATACTCATTGATAAAGCTTACGTCCTCTTCATGTGGCAACAAATCCGCGCTCAAGCCAGAAGTCAGCAACAGTAGCCAGAGCTCACCAAGCCACACCTTCCAACCAGCCCCTGGCGTCAGCCGGAGCGATCGGCCGTACCAGTCCAGGGCGAAGGGCCTGGCACCCTCCATGGTCCACCGGCCGCGGACCGGCCAGTGCGCACGCGCCGCCCCTCCCCCTGCCCTGCCAATCTACGCAGCCAAGCTAGGCCCCGCCCCTCCCGGAGCAGAAGGGGAAGTCGGGCCTGGATGTCGGATGGGGCAAGTTCGTTTGCCCTAGTTGTTGGCTGGCAGAAGTCATGGGAGCCTTGAGTCAAATGAGTGCAGGCTGTTCACTACGCTAATTAACTCTCTGGAGTTGATTTCTGATACCAAATGATGTCATCGTTTATCACTAAGCCCTCTGTACAGTAAATTCCAGATGCTGAATAATGAAAATGTCTGAGGAACCTTCTAATTATGCAAGGGCAAATGATCAATCTTCTGTGATATTGATGAAAATTTATTTTTTCCCCCATCTTTACCTATTGAGTTGTGAACTTAATGCAGGACGCGTCTGTATTTTCATTATGGATTGAAAAATACTCTCTTTGAGGTGGACTTGGTTGAGATTTTCTCTCAGTGTTTTAATGGTCCTTTGCAAGAGATCACAAAATAAATGAAAGACTGGAAAACTCAACATGTAGGGGTTAAACTAAGGATCACAAAATTCTGATAAGCTTGACATATTTTCTCTCACCAGCACCTTATAGACAGCCTGGAATATTAATATTAATCTTCTCTGACAAATTGTTCAGTTCACAGTAGGTAAGAACTTATTTTGTTTTTATTTCTTCTTTCAGACAAAAATGTCTAGTGTCTTAGCAGATTTTGGCCTGTGCTTTTTACCTCCAAACATTTTGCTGTAGAAAACTTGTTTCAAAGAATATAAGTTCTAGGCACAAAATAAAAGTACACTCTTGTTTGGGGGTTCCATTTGCAAATAACATATTGTGCCTGACAGAATTAAGGAGATATTCAAAGTCAGTGACACTGGGACAGAATTTTGCCACAAGCAAAGCATTGTAACTGGTTGACCAAAATATTTAAAAAGAAATGCGCTTTTATTTATTTAAAACATTTTTTTAATTTATTTTTTTCCATCACTGTCTATCCCGTCTATGCTCTCTTCTACTTTTCCACCTCCCTCAACCCCACCCCACCACCAGAACTGTCTACCTGCTCTCTATCTATGAGTCTGTCTCTATTTTGCTTGGTAGTTCAGTTTGTTCATTAAATTCCACATACAAGTGAAACTATATGATATTTGTCTTTCTCTGACTGACATATTTCACTTAGCACGATGTTCTCCAGGTTCATCCTTGCTGTTGCAAAGGGTACATTTTTCTTCCCTTTTTACGGCAGAGTAGTATTCCATTGTGTAAATGTACCACAGATTTTTTATCCACTCATCTACTGATGGATAGCCAAGATTTGGAAGAAATGTGCTTTTAAAAATTATGGTCTACACAATTAAAAGCAATAGACCTCACCAGATGGTTTCATTCATACCTTTAGTTGTTTAGTAAATATTTATTACTAGGTAAAGTGTTAAGGGGTTGACAAAGACTGGTGGACAAGACACAGACTCTGCTTCCAAATGGCTTACATTTAGAAAACTAACAAATTGGTAACTCTCATACCATGTGAAAAATGCCTTTCTGGAGAACGTGACGTCAAGAAAGTAAAGAATATAGGAAGGTGAAAGAGTATGTTCTAAACAGAGGGAAAAGCATGTAATACATATGCCAGGAGAGCAGAAAAGGCTAAGAGTATTTTACTCTGACCACAGCCTATTTTAGGGCTGAAGATGGAATTCCTTTATTATGTTGGTACTGTCGTCTATAGTCAAATATGAGATAAACAGAATAATGCAATCTTAAATTACAAATAAATTTAGATACTTTTACTAGTCCTGTGTATTAGATATATTCTCTGACACATCATTGATAGGTGGTCATTATATCCTCTGCTTAAATAATTACACTACCAACGGAGTCCCCATCTCTCAGGCAGCCCATTCCATTGCTAGACACTTCACTCCACAAGTATTTCTTTAGGACTTCCTCTGTGTCAGAGCTACAAATGTTGAACAAGCTAGATATATCTATCCACATGAAGCTTTTAGTTAAAGGTGTTAAAGACAATCATCAATTATAGTACAGAATAGTAAATGGCAAAAATAGTATATTTCAAAAATCCTTACTATGTGTCAGGTGCTATTTTACTTATTTTTCATTGTGGTAAAATAAACACAGCAAAATTTACCCTATCAACCATATTTAGTGTAACATTCAGTGGCAGTTATATTCACAGTTTTGTGTAACCATCACCACTATCCTGTGCCGTTTTTTTTTTTTTTTTTTTTTTTAAAGATTTTAAATTGATTTTTAGAGAGAGGGAGAGAGAGAGAAACATTGATGTGACTGAAACATCTATCAGCTGCCTCTTGCACATCCCATACCAGGGATCAAGCCCCAAACCCTGGCATGTGCCCTGACCAGGAATTGAAGTTACAACCTGTTGGTGCAAGGAATGAAGCCCAACTGAGCCACACTTACCAGGGCTATCCTGTGCTGTTTTAAATGCTTGTCAACTCATTTAAAAAATAAAAAATCTTCCCAGCTGGTGTGGCTCAGTGCTTGAGCATCGACCCATAGGCTAGGAGGTGGCCGGTTCAATTACAGGTCAGGCAGGGGACATGCCCAGGCTGTGGGCCAAATCCCCAGTAGAGGGCATTCAGGAGGAAGCCAATTGATGTTCTCTCTCATTGATGTTTCTCTCTCTCTAAAATCAATAAGGAAAAAAATATTTTAAAAAAACCTCAGAAACAGATATTACTATGTCCATTTTACAAGGAAAAACAGAAAAAGTGGGATGATGAACTTTACTTCATTAAACTATAACTAGAGGATAACTGAGAAAGATATTTGGTAGATAAATGTCAAAGGATTAAAATCACTGATGGTTCATTAATGCACATTTGAGAATAATTACAAATTCTTAAGAAAATGAACAGCACCATTGGAAAAATGAATGAAGGAGGTGAACAGTGACAAAAAAAAAAAAATGTGGTGGAAGTGGTCTCAGGAACTAGCCAACAGTTTGCCTCTATCCCAAAGTCAAAACTGTAAAATCAAATATAAATCTGGGAATAGATATATGAAATTTTGACTCCTAAATTTATGTTACTCATATTCTTGAGGTCAATATTTATTTAGTATGGTAATATGTATTCAACAAGTCCTGGAAATCCTCTTGAAAAGCACAGCATTTTCTTAGACTATAACTCTCAAAAAAATGTATTTGTAAATCTGAGTGCAGTTTTTGAAAATATGTTTAACTCTACTAATAGTTAAAAAATAGAAATTAATAGCATTCACCTCACAGAATTATTGAGAGGATTATATAAATCATTATATGTGAAGCACTTAGTGCTTGGCGCATTGAAAATATTACTTCGTGTTAGGTATTATTAAATTAATACTATTAATAAGTAATGCCTCATTTTCATTTATATTGAAAAAAAGTAAAATAAAATTTTAACATTTAATGTTTTGCCAGACATATTATTATGCATTCTTAATACATACTTATTTAAGTATGATAATCAGTGTGATCTCACTAGCTATAAGGCTCAAATTCTACGTGTGCAATTCCAGTTTGGTTCCTGGTATTTTTGACTAAGGGGCACATAGCTTTTCTGAGGGAAATGGGAGTTTCACTGGGTCTGATAATTATGTGATTTGTATGTTTCCTTTGTTGCAGTGTGTGAATCCAAGTAGATATAATTGCAGATTATATTACTTAGTATTCACTAAACCAAACATCACAAAATAATCATATGTCTTACAAAAATCGCTGAAAAGATATTGCAGATTATAATTGGAAAGATACAAGTATAAGCAAACTATCAATCATTTGATTATCGTTTTCCTGGCATAAACATCTCTTTCACAGTTATTTTAAAATTCATTTTATGTCATCTTTTTTAGGTTTAATTTTTGTGTACTTTAAAATATATATTGCTCTATTATGAAAATACACACAATATCTGTAATTAATGCTACATATAAGCTTTTGGTTTAAGTTTAGGATTATCAACTTCCTGGTTTGTTAGGGAATGCCTTGGGCTTATTGTGTTTTCCTATATTCCGGGAAAACCCCCTAGTCTCAGGCAAATCAGGAAATTGAAGACATAATTAAGAAATTTCCTGCAAACAAAAGCCCAGGCCTGGACAGCTTCATGGGGGAGTTTTACCGAACATTCAAAGAAGGGCTAACACCCATCTTCTCAAACTATTAAAAAAATCCAAGAAGACAAAAGACTTCAAACTCATTTTATGAGGCCAGCATGATCCTAGTTGCAAAACCAGATAAAGACACTACCAAGAAAGAAAACTACAGTCCAATACCTCTGATGAACACAGATGCAAAAATCCTTAACAAAATATTAGCAAATTGGATCCAGCAATACATCAAGAAAATTATTCATCATGACCAAGTGGGATTCATCCAAGGGATGCAAGGCTGGTACAATATTCGCAAATCAATAAATGTGATACACCTCATAAACAAAATGAAAGATAAAAACCATATAATCTTATCAATAGATGCTGTAAAAGCATTTGACAAAATTCAGCACCCATTTCTGATAAAAAAAACACTCAGCAATGTGGGAATAGAGGGATCATATCTTGACATAATAAAGTCTATATATAAAAAACCTACAGCCAACATCATACTCAATGGCCATAAACTAAAAGCATTTCCTTTAAGATCAGGAACAAGAAAGGGATGCCCACTTTTACCACACTTATTTAACATAATACTGAAAGTCTTTGCCACAGCAATTAGACATGAAGAAAAAATAAAAGGGATCCAAACTGGAAAGGAGAAAGTGAAACTGTCGTTATTTGCCAATGACATGATATTGTACATAGAAAACCTTAAAGACTTCATCAAAAATCTACTAGACTTAAATGAATTTGGTAAAGTAGCAGAATACAAAATTAACATCAAGAAATTGACATCATTCTTATACACTAACGATGAACTCACAGAAAAAGAAACTAAAAAAACAATCCCATTTACCATCATGGCAAAAATATTAAGATACCTAGGAATAAACCTAACCAAAGAAGTAAAGGACCTCTTCACAGAAAACTACAGGTCATTGAAAAAAAAAAAAAAAATAGAGCAAGATATTAAAAAGTGGAAGCATGTACCTTATTCGTGGATTGTAAGAATTAACATCATTAAAATATCCATACTACCCAAAGCAATCTATAGATTCAATGCAATCCACATCAAAATACCAATGACATATTTCACAGAACTAGAACAAATACTCCAAAAGTTTATTTGGAACCAAAAAAGATCCCAAATAGCCACAGCAATCTTGAAAAAGAAGAACAAAATAGGAGGGATCACAATACTGGATTTCAGGTTACACTACAAAGCCACTGTAATAAAAAACAGACAGATAGATCAATGGAACAAAATAGAGCACCCAGAAATTGACACATGACAATATGCTCAATTAATATTTGACAAAGGTGGTAAGAGCATACAGTAGAGTCAAGACAGCCTCTTCAATAAATGGTGTTGGGAAAATTGGACGGTTACATGTAAAGAAATGAAGCTAGACCACCAACTTACACCATAAACAATAATAAACTCAAAATGGATAAAAGACTTAAATGTGACTCGTAAATCCATAAAAATCCTATAAGAAAATGTAGGCAACAAAATTTCAGACATCACACGCAGCAGGATTTTCACTGATACAACACTTAAGGCAAGAGAAACAAAGGAAAAAATTAATACATGGGATTTCATCAAACTAAAAAGCTTTTGTACAGCAAAAGAAACAACCATCAAAATGGAAAGGGAACTCCCTATATGGGAGAGAATAATTGCCAATGATACATGTGCTAAGGGGTTAATTTCCAAAATATATAGAGTGCTCATACAACTGAACAAAAGGAGGACAAAGAACCCAATTAAAAAATGGGCAGAGTATCTAAAGAGACACCTCTCCAAACAGGATATATAAATGGCCAAGAGACAGGAAAAAATGCTCAACATCACTAACCATCAGAGAGATGCAAATTAAAACAACAATGAAGTATCACCTCACACCTGTCAGAATCGCTGCCATCACCAAATCATCAAACAAGTGCCGGTGTAGTTTTCTGGTGAGGATGTGGAGAAAAGGGGACTCTAGTATACTGCTGGTGGAAATGCAGACTGGTGCAGCCGCTATGGGAAACACTATGGTGTTTCCTCAAAAAGTTAAAAATTGAACTGCCATTTGACCCAGTGAACCCACTTCTAGGAATATACCCTAAGAAGCCTGAAACACCAATCAGAAAGAAGATATGTAATCCTATGTTCATAGCAGCACTATTTACAATCTCTAAGATTTGGAAACAGCCCAAATGTCCATCAATAGATGAGTGGATAAAAAGCTGTGTACATATACACAATGGAACACTATGTAGCTGTAACATGGAGGGACCTAGAGAGTATTATCCTAAGCGAAACAAGCCAATCAGAGAAAGACAAGTATCACATGATGTCACTTATTTGTAAATTATAATGTACAAAAGAAACTAATGAACAAAATAGTCCCTGAGACAAAGAAGTATGGTACAGACTGACAAACCTTAAAAGAGGGGATGAGGGTGGGGAGGGAAGAGATAAACCACAGAACTTATATGCATATATGGATAACCATGGACATAGACAACAATGTTGGGGATGGGGTGGTGGGGGAGGGGTCAAGAGGAGGGTGTCAATGGGGGAAAAAGGAGAAACATTTGTAACAAAAATAAATTAATAGTAAAAAATAAAGAGTAGTAAAACTATATTAAATTTAGATAACAGATAAGAGTGTAGAAGTTTTAATAAACTGATGAGATTTACATTTAGTCATAAACTGTTAGTTTATTGTCATGTCTCTTGTACATAGATGAAAATTAAAACAGTCTCAGAAGAACACAAACCAGGCACAAGAGATTACAGGCTGTCTGCTGTGCAGCTTTCCCATGTGGATTCCAATTTGGATATTCTGTCAATAAAATACAGTAGTTAAGAGCTCAACTTAGTTTCTAGGGGACAAAATAATCAAATCAATACTCAAATATTTTTATACATACCTATGAGTGTATCACGTTCTTTATTTCCTAAAATAGAAAATAAAGAAATATAAAATTAAAAACATTCACTTGCTTTTCTAGCTTTATAATAAGATAATGCACTTAGGAAACAAAATTTAGCCTTTAACTTATAAAAATGAAAGCTTCCTCCCCAAATCCCATTCTATGTAAAAATCTCTATGATGCTCCCTGCCAACCATGTCATGTCCACATATATTTAAAGAATGCTTTTCATATTGAAGACCCCAAAGCCAAATGTAGACAAAACGATATAACGTTAATTTTTAAAAATATGTTTTTATTGATTTTTTTAGAGAGAGAGAGAGACATAGAAACATCAATGTGAGAGAGAAACATTGATCTACTGCATTCTTCACCCCCCTACTGGGGATCGAGCCTGCAACCAGGCATGTGCCCTGACCCGGAATCGAACCGGGAGCTCGCAGTCCATAGGACTATACTCAATCCACTGAGCCACACTGGCCGGGCAAAATGATATAACTTTATATGTGGTACTCTGCCATGCCCATTTAAAATCTCTGGAAAAGGTAGTCCTTAATACTGAGTTTTGGGTACCCAGAGCCTTTCATTAAATATCTCACTCATTTAATGTGGCCTTTGCTCCAAATTTTCCTCTACATCTTTCCCCCATCAAATGTTTCTCCCCTGTTTACTATTCTATCAGTAATCTGCAGTTTGTTAGGAATTCTTTTATTTGATTTTTTCATTTATTTATTCATTTTTTTTGAGTGCTTGTTGTGTATTGAGCATGATTCCAGTCTTTGGATATAATTAATGGTCATCAAAACAAAAATAAAGTTCTCCTTACAGAAAAATAAGGGAAGAAAATCTATCATCAATTTACAAATGGCCTAAATAGATAAAGATGAGTAAAAATGATCATTTCAGAGAGTGATTAGTGCTATAAAAAATAAGCTGGGTCAAAAGATAGAAAATAATGAGGAACTTAACTAAAACAATAGCTAAAATTTATTGAGAACTTACTTTGTTTTGGACTCAAATCACTTTGTATGATACTTACATGCTTTTAATCACCTCCTCAGTTAAGCCATCTTACTGCAAGGCCTATACATTTACCCATTAAGCTACATGTGCTGTCTCTCAAAAAGGAAGTCAACAAAACCAAAAGCTGGTTTTTGTTTACTGATTAACAACAACGAAACAAAATGTATAGGACTTATGTAATTAGAATGTGACAGGTAGAGCAGAGATAAAATATAAGATTTCATTAAAACTTGTATAAACCATAAATTTGCTAATTTTGTTCTCAAACATGATATCACATAATATTTAAAGAAATTAAACCAGTAAATTTGAAATGTACAAAAACACACAACCCAGAACAAAATTGTTTTACAGAAAACTCCTAAACATTAAAAAAGTAATCAGAATCTTATACAAACTGCAACCAAAATATTAAAAGACTTAATACTTCCAACTTTCAACATGTTTTATGAAGCTACTTCAACCTTGAAGTAAAAAATCATATGAGAAATGAAAATTTTCAGGTCAGTAATTCTAAATTAAAATTGAAAAACTGTAAATAAAATGTTAACAAGAATCTAGCAACCTCTGAAAGAAACTTTATGACCAATTTGAATTTATTATGGGAATCAAAGTAGATTTTAAAATTGGATTTCCAGGAAATAACTTAACTACCAGTACCTATAAGGATGTATAAATCTCACTGGTTAAGTTGTATACATTAGATATATGTACCACATTTTGAATGTCAATCATACTTCAGTAAAGTGGTTTAAAAAATAAAAACAAAGGGAACAATAAATAAACAAAACGAAAGATGAACAGGATGTGATAAAAGATTTAAAACATTAAAAACTACCATGTACCAATCTCTTTATAATTTCAAAATATCTGTGAAATGGACCATTTTTAAAGTATATTACTCAAAGAAAAGTTGAATGCATAAGTACATTTAAAAAATTAAACTTACAAATTAATACTTACAAAACAGTTTCCAAAAAGAAAAAAGGAAAGAAATCCTTTGATGAAGTTTACAACATTAAGACATTAAAGGAAAAAAATGGGGATCATTTTAAGGGCTACAGAAAAAATATGGTCAAATTAAATGTTCATTCAAGATAAAAGCTCATAGCAAAATAAGGAAAGAGAAAACCACAATAACCTGGCAGGACTAATTAAATAACCCAATGCTCAATCACTGAGCCACACCAGCTAGGCTAGTCAACATACCACATCAAGAAATAACCCAAAGCAAATATGGGTCATGGTGAAACATTGCCCTTAAGTCAGGAACAAGAGAATGGTGTCCACTGTTACTACTTATGTCTAACATTTCACTGGATGATTCACTATTAATATTAGTAAAATAAATAACTGACATAAAGGTTAAGTGACAGAAAAAAACTTGTATTTTTTATAGAGAACATTAAGAAAATCCAAGAGTATTAACACATTATTAGTAAAAGAATTACATAAGATTCCTGGGTAGTAGGTTAATATTAAAATATTCTGTATTTCTTTATATCAGCAAAAAGTAAATTAGGAAATATAGTTTTAAAATATCATTTTAAAACAAAAGATACATGTTAGTAAGGAATCTAATTTAATGTGCAAGGCCTTTATTGAGAAAAATTTAAAACTTAAAGATGTTTCAAGACCAAAGTAAACCATCTTTATTAATATAAAGTCAATGCTGTAAAGATGTTAATTCTTCTTAAATTTACCTATAAATTTAATGTAATGCCAACCAAAATTTTAAGGTCTTCATAAGCTTATCATTAACATTAATTTGCAAGAGCAAAGGGCCAAGAATAGTCAAATAATTTCTGAATAATTGGAAAAGGAACAAGTTGGAGAACAGCTCCTAATAGGTCTCAAAGTTTCTTGTAGCCTTTGCAGCTTGTGTGGGCTATCTTGGAGACCAATACCTGCTTAAATGTCAGGAATGGAGTCCTTTGTGACACACAAAAGCTGTCATCAAGCACAACTAGAAAATGCAAATAAAATACAACAAAACAATGTTTAAGAGCATCAGAGATTTAAAGCAACGAAGACCAAAGAGTGAAGATTTTAGAGCAGGAGTTCCACAGAGAGGTGGGCGGATGATATGAATGATGTTTTTTTCTCTGGAGCCATTGTTTGATCTGGGTCCAGGTCTAGGGCTGAATATGTCGGCTTTCCTCTGGCAGGGGTTGATTTTTGGGAAAAAGAGAAATCAGGAGAACTTTTGTTAGTCTTCCAAGGCTAGAGACATAACATTAGGGAACTGAGTATAGGTCAAGATTCAGAGGAGCAGTAGAGGTGGAGGAAATGAGCCCAATGGATATCCATTTTAATTTTAATTTTGAAGCTATTTTAATTTTGAAGCTGTGAAGGGCAGGAGGCTAAATCCCTAGGCTGAAAGCCTCTGGAAATGAAAGCAGATGATTTTGTAATCCCAGTGTACTAAAGCAACAAGAGATTGAAGTTTAGAACCCACCAGGGAAAGGCAACAGTGAACACCTCAGTTTCTCAGTTGCCCTGGCCAGTTTGGCTCAGTGGTTGAGTGATGGCCTGCAGACCAGAGAGTCCTGGGTTCGGTTCCCACTAGGGGCATGTACCACCAAGAAAAAAAAAAAAAAAAAGAAAGCCCTATAAATCTATACCCTTGAAATAGGGGTAAACAGAAGTAGACCAAACTTTACCTAAGTTCAAGCCCAGCTTTGACCGAATTGTGTTTGGATTAAGCTGAACAACCCCAAGTCCATCTGTTCAGCAAAGGTAAAGGTAGAATGTTCTACAGTTTTGTTTTACAGATGTTAGATGTTTAATAAAACCTTATTAGTAATACCAAGTGTTTCTGCAACGTACTATTGTGAAACAGACTTCCAAACTTAATGGTTTAAAACAATGACAATTCGTTATTATTTCTCACAGTTATTGGTTGGCTGGCTCTACTAGGCAATTTCTCTGCTATATGTAGTGTCATCAGCATTCAATGACATGGCTGCATTTCACTGCAGTTCAGTAGAGGTTGAAAGAGAAGGATGACCTTTCCTCTTCCAGGGCCTTTCTCCATGTGACCTATCCAGAAGGAAAGCATGGATTTCTTGGTATGCTGGGAGCTTCCAAAAGAGGAAAAGCCAAAGCTGCCAGGTTTCTTAAAGGCCAGGCCCAGAACCAGCAGAATATCAAGTCCCTTATTCAAGGTGAGGAGAAATAAACTTCACTCCTCGATGGGAGTAGAGACATGCATGTAAAGAGGGGGAGGAATTGTTGGTGGCCATCTTTAACTTTTCTTCATTGATTTTAGAGAGAGAGGAAGGGAGAGGAAGAGAGAGAGAGACATTGATGAGAGAGAACATCAATTGGCTGCCTCTTGCATGCCCCTAACTGGGGATTGGGCCCACAACCCAGGCATATGCCCTGATTGGGAATTGAACTGATGACCTCCTGGTGCATGGGTCAATGCTCAATCACTGAGCCATACCAGCTGGGCTGGTGGCCATCTTTAAAGTCAACATACCACACCAAGAAACAGCAAGTTACTGAAATTAAGAGAAAAACAAACAATCTTTAGTGTAGAAACAGACCCACAGGTGATTTGGATGATGGAGCTTTTAGAAAGAGCTGGAACCTAGGGAGGGCAAAAAAATCATGGTAAGAGAGAGGCAAAAGCTTGGGCTTGGCAGCCACATGGTATAGGGTCAGATTTTTCTTCCATTGCAGTAAGAAACAATTGAGGAATTTTAAGAAAAGAAGGTATTTGATATGATTTTCTTAGTGTAAAACAGTTCAGAGTAGGGTATGAAGAGAAGTGGTGGACTGTACTAGTTCAGGAGAGATGTGTCAGTGGCTTGGATACTGGGCAGGAAGGAGAAGTGAAAAAGAATAAAAAAGAATATTTCATTGTTATCTTTTTCTGTCTTTGGTTAAACACATTAGTTTCCAACTGGGACATAATGCAGTTAGTTTATTTTTTATGTTGCTTTGAATGAAATCTGAAATTAGAGGGACCATACTCTAGTTCATTCTTTAATTGAAGTATAACATGAATATACAAACATACATTTCTTATGGAATGTTTGTTTAATGATTACAAAGTGAATATACTTAGATAACCTTTTGGTATCCTCTTGTAATTACTAACTCCTCTTTCTTCTCCAAAGGTAACCGCTATCCTGACTTCAAGTGTAGATTAGTTTTGCCTAATTTTGGACTTTAAGTAAATAAGGTAATTTTATAAATGTGCTTTCTTTTTGTGTCTGTCTCATTTTGTGGCATTATAACTTTTTCTCTTTTTACAGTTTCTAAATCATCTATCTCCTTCACCCATTTCACTTTATCTTCAATCAAAGAATTTAAACACTTAACCTTAAAAAGTATCTTTGCTCTGAGAACCAATAGGCTGATGATGGAAGAGAAACATTAGTTTAAAATCACAATGAATATGGACATTAATTAATATATTACTTCTGAGTGAGTCAATATTTTTTAAAAACATGTTTTCATTAGTTTTTTAGAGAGAGAGAAATAGAAACATCAATGTGAGAGAGAAGCATCTATCGGCTGCCTCCTGCACACCCTCTCTGGAAGATCAAGCCCCAAACCTGGGCATGTGCCCTGACCAGGAATTGACCTGGGACCTCTCAGTCCATGGGACGATGCTTAATTCACTGAACCATACTGGCCGGGCGTGAGTTACTATTTTAATAATAACTAATAAAAGGAGGAGAATGGAGGCAAATGCAAATAAACATTTCAACTAGTAGTTCTTTGTATAGCAGCAAATATATACTGTATAGCAGCACACTGGATCATACTTATACCTCACTCCAATCTGTCCTTTAGCCTGAAAGGGAAAATAATCAGTAAAGAAGGGCAGGATCACCTGAGTTTAAATATAATTTATGACAAGTGATTTATATCACCATATAGCAACAATCAAATCTTGTTAATAAATTCTCTGTAAACTTGAGGGGAGCTAAATTTGAAAATATGATGCATTTATGGAAATTTTGCTCTCCAAATAGAATGTTACAATCACCCCCCCCCCCCCACACACACACACACTTTTTACTTACGGCAGAGCTTATTTTCACAACTGTCTTCTTTTCCACACTTAGAACAGGGTACTCCTTTAGTGTAAGGGGGAGTCCGTTCATAATTTCCTCTGTAAAAAAAGAGAAACATTGAGTAGCCAAAAGGCTACTTATTCCTCTAATTTTGTGCATTCATTTATATTTTTTTGGTTGCTCATTAAATCATGAATGTTGAAAGGAAAAAAAGCTTTTGTACCAATTTTATGCTCATTTCTTTTGTAAAAAGAAACTTTAAAACTGTTCTCTACAGTGCATTCTTAATAAATCACAGTTATATTCTTTTAAAAAATTATTATTTATTAATTTTTCCCCCATTTTTATTAATTTATTTTTGGTACAGATGTTTCTCCTTTTACCCCTCTAGACACCCTCCTCCCCATCCTCCCCTAGCTACCCCCCCCCCCAGCATTGTTGTCTATGTCCATTGGTTATGCATACATGCATATAAATTCTTTGGTTCATCTCATCCATCCCCCCTGCCCCCCTCCTCTGAGATTTGTCAATTTGAACCATACTCCTTTCTATGTCTCTGGGTCTATTTCATTCATCAGCCCACTTTGTTCATTATATTCCACAAATAAGTGAGATCATGTGGCATTTGTCTTTCACTGATTGGCTTATTTTGCTTAGCATAATACTCTTGAGGTCCCTCCATGTTGTCTCAAAGGATACGAGATCTTTCTTACAGCTGCATAGTATTCCATTGTATATATGTACCACAGCTTTTTTATCCACTCTTCCATTGATGGACACTTGGGCTGTTTCCAGATCTTAGCGATTGTAAATAGTGCTGCTATGAACATAGGGGTACATATATTCTTTGTGATTGGTGTTTCAGGTTTCTTAGAATATATTCCTAGAAGTGGGATTACTGGGTCAAACGGTAGTTCAATTTTTAACTTTTTGAGGAAGCACCATAGTGTTTTCCATAGTGGCTGCAACAGTCTGTATTCCCACCAGCAGTGTACTAGAGCCCCCTTTTCTCCATAACCTCGCCAGCACTTGTTTCATGATTTGTTGATGGCAGCCATTCTAGCAGGTGTGAGGTGATACCTCATAGTTGTTTTAATTTGCATCTCTCTGTTGATTAGTGCTGTTAAGTATTTCTTCATATGTCTCTTGGCCATTTGTATGTCCTTTTTGGAGAGATGTCTATTTAGGTCCTCTACTCATTTTTACATTGGGTTCTTTATCTTCCTTAACCCCTTAGCAGATGTATCATTGGCAATTATGCTCCCCCACACAGTGGGTTCCCTTTCCATTTTGATGGTTGTTTCTTTTGTTGGTTTTGTCACAGTTATATTCTTAAATTGTTTTTATTGACTTTTTTGAGAGAAAGAGAGAGAGAGAAAGATCAATTTGTTGTTCCACTTATTTATTTATTCACTGGTTGATTCTTGTATGTGCCCTGACCTTGTATCAAACCCACAACCTTGGCGTGTCAGGACGACACTCTAACCAACTGAGCTACCCATCCAAGGCATTATATTCTTGAATATTTTATAAAACATAAAATTAGCTATGAACCCAGTGTAATTATGTATGTGACAGCCACAGATTTTTTGTTTGTTGTAGAATACTAAGATTATCTCTTTATTTTGTAAATGGAATAAGCAAAATTTAAATTGCAAGTGGAAGCATATGCTTTATGGCTCAATTAATTAATTAATTAATTTTATTAGGGGAGAGTGTGAATGCAGTCCCCCATTACTACAAATTATGCAGCCAAGTTTCCCACATTTGGGGAATTCGCAGGGGTCAGCACATCCGAAGTGCGATGGATAAGCCTCGCCCTGGGAAAACCACCTTTGTGATCATGGTATCTCCCCTGCCAGGTAAGTATTATGACCCACTTTAAAAGTATAATACCATAGTCTTTGTCTAGTTCTGCTTGATGTACCAAAAAAAATGGTACCATTTGGTCAACCATTTGGCAGATACTATGCCTGTTTTTTCCTCATCTCTGTGTTTGTGAAAGACTTTTAAAAATGTTACTTAGAGCACACAAAGAAAAACATTAATAACACCAGCAGTATTCCATTAAAAAATAAGCCACAATTCATTTATCCATTCATTAGTTTATGGACATTTGGGTTGTTTTAGTTTTTGACTATTACATATAAAGTTACTATGTACATTTTGAACATTCATATATGTCTTTTTTGCACATGCAGTTCCTTGAATACATATCTAAAAGTGAAATAAATAGATCATATGATGGTCAGTGCATATTTAACTTTTTAAGAAACTGTCACACTGTTTTTACAAAATAGTTGTGACACTTTTTATTCTCATCAGCTGTGGTTGAGAATTCTAGTTCCTTCACATCTTCCTCTGGATTTGGAATGGGCAGTCTTTAGCCATTCAAATTATTATATAGAGTATTCATTGTGATTTTAAGTTGTATTTCCCTAATGATTAATGATGAGTTTTTATCATTGCTTATTTTCCATCTGCAAATTTTCTTCATTAACTTTTAATTTATTTTTTATTGTTTTAAGTATTCCTGATACTGAATTGTGACAGTTCTCCCTATATTCTTCATGTAAGTCTTTTATCTGATATGTTTTGTGAAGACTTTCTTCCAGTCTGTAGCTTATCTTTTCATTCTCTTACCAGTGTGTTTGCATAGTTGTAAATTTAATTTTAATGCAGTCCAACTTGTTAATTTGTTCTTTTATGGATCATGGTTTTGGTGTGGTAACTAAAATATTTTGGCTATGTTAAGATCACAAAGTTTTCATTCATGTTTACTTCTACAGGTTTTATAGTTTAGGTTTTACATTTAGGCCTAAGATTCGTTTTAAGTTATTTTTGTAGGTTTTATTTTGTGTAGATTCAAGTTTATTTTTGGTTTTTATATATATAGAGGACATATTGTTCTAGCAGCATTTGTTGAAGAATCTCTTTTCCACTTCATTGCCTCTCTGATTCTATGAAAAATCAGTTGAACACATGTGGTCAACCATGTGTAGAATTATTTTTGGACTCCTTATTCTGTTCCATTGACTTATTTGTCTAACTTTAGTTAATATTACAATGTTGTATTTATTCTAGCTATAATTTAATTCTTGAAAACAATAGTGTCAGTCCTTCAAATTTGTTCTTCTTAGTTGCTTTGGCTATTCTAAGTCCTTTGCATTTCCATATGAATTTTAGGATCCAGGTTTGTCCATTTTTCAATAAAGCTCTGTTGGGATATTTATTAGAATTGTATTGAATGTTTGGAGCAATTTAGTGAAAAATTACATTTTAACAATATTGAGTCTTTTATCATATTAACAAGATATAATCTATTTATTTGTATTTAATTCATCTCATGAATATTATGTAATTTTCAGTGTACACGTTCTTCCGCCAGATTTATTCCTAGATAATTTATATTTTTTAAGCTATTGTAAATGATATTGTCATTTTATTTCTACTTATGATTGCTCATTGCTGGTGTATGGGCATGTAATTGAGTTTTATATCCTGATCTGGTATCCTGAAAATTTTCTAAACTTACTTATTAGTTCCAGAAGAGTTTTCATTGACTCCATTACATTTTCTGTTTAGATCTATAAACCAGCAGTCAGCAAAGTATGGCCTATAGTAAGACTTGATGTTTTATATTTTAAGGGGTTATTTAAAACAATACAAAAACATAAAGATGAATATATGATAGAATGCATGTGTTTTGCAAAGCCTATCATTTTTACTATTACTTCACAGAAAAAGTTCTATCTAGTATTTTACAGAAAAACTTTTTACTCTTAGGTATAACATTACAGGCAGGTTTTTCAAAATGCCCTTTATTAGGTTTAAGATGTTTCCTTCTGTTTATACTGGGCAGAGGACTTTTATTAGGAATGAATGTTTGTCTTTTACTCAGTCTAAATATATGGTCATATGATCTTTATTTTTAGGCTGATTGATATGGCTAATTACATGGATTGTTTTAGAATGTTAAATCAGGCCTACATTCCTGGAATAAACTACATTTGGACAAGGTGTATTATGCTTTTATTATATTATTGGATTCAATTGTTAAATTTTGTTTAGTACTTTTGTATCTGTGTTCATAAGAGATACTGCTCTGTAGTTGTCTTTTCATTTTATATTTTCTTTGTAATTTGTGATTTTTGAGTAATTTGTTCAATTCATCCAAGTTGCCTCTTGATTAACCCCATTACTATTTTTAATGGCCTTTATCCCTGGCAACATTTTGTTGCTCTGAAATTCACATCTGATATTAATATAGACACTGCAGTTTTATTTTACCTAATGTTAGTAAAGCTTTTTCCATCCTTGTACTTTTAATGTATTTGTGTTTTTATATATGCTTCTTGTAGGCAGCATATAATTAATTGGTTCTTTGTCTTTTTAAATTCCTCACTGGAGGATATTTTCCCATTTATCTTCAGAGAGTGTAGGAGGGAAGGAGAGAGAGAGAGAGAGAGAGAGAGAGAGAGAGAGAGAGAGAGAGAGAGAAACATCAATGTGAGAGAGACACATCGATTGGTTGCCTCCTGCACGACCCCAACCAGGGCTGGGGGCAAACTGCAACTGAGGTATGTGCGTGCCCTTGGCTGGAATTGAACCCTCAACTCTTTGGTCCTTGGGCCGATGGTCTAACAGCTGAGCCAAACCGGCCATGGCATAATTGCTTCTTGACTTTTTTTTATCCAAGCTCACAATCTCTACCTTTTCATTTGGGTATTTGTAGAATTTCCATTTGATGCAATCATTGACATACTTAAGTTTGAGGTTATCTTATTCTGTTTGTTTCATCTGTCCTTTGTTTTTCTTCTGTTTAAGTTATGCATTTGTCATACTCATTTCTGTTACTAACTAAGAGGGAATAGAAGAAACACAGAAAGAGAGATACAGATTTGTACTTCTCTATAGCAATTTTGGCATGTCTCAGTTTCTTTTTACCAATCCTGTATACTTATTCTATGCTTGTGTTTTCATCTCTTATATATTTCAATATTTTGGCTTGTTTAATGGTTGGATTTTATATTTTTTTCTTGTACAGATAATTGGGATTAGAGTTCCAGAATTTTATATTTGGAGCCTCCCATTAGGCTTATGTTATATTTCCATTTAGATGTGCAGTTATCAAAAAGGCAATAAAAATTATGGTATTTTTTTCTTAGAAAGATGTGCTTTTCACTATCATTCTGAATCATCTGTTCATTCTAGTTATCTTATATTAGGAAAGCATCTGCCAGCCTATTTTGTATTCCAGCATTTATGGTGGCAATACATTTTTTATTATCTGTTGTTTTACTTAAACAATGTCCATCATTTTCAATCTGAACTTTAAATATCTCATGGTAGATATAATTCTTTACACAAGGCAATATTCTCTCACTACTTTCTATTTTCGTATGTTTCTTTTGACTAGCATTATAGAGGGAGACTTTATTTATTAAATATATACCTGTCTTTTTGTCTAATACCCTAGTTTTTGAAACAATTCTTAACATTTATTTCAATATGAAATATTTTTAATAGCAAAATAACTTACGGAGGTCCATAGTCACATATAAATATTGCAGTTTCAGTTCCCCCAAGGTCAGGACAAATATTAATTGCACAACCAACTTTATATGAATTGGCCCAAATTACCTATAAGGAAAGAAATTTTTAAATAAAATATGCAAAACAACTCTATGCCACAATGCACTATGGGAATAGCTATAATCTTAGTTATACTATAAAAATTAATATACATAAATTCTTATTGGTTATTTACCTTAATTTTTAATATTTAGTTTAAAACAATTTTTTAAATAGGCCCACAACTTTAATTTTTTTTTTCTTTATTGATTTCTTTTTTTTTTTGAGAGAGAGTGGAAGGGAGAGGGAGAGAGAGATAGAAACACTGATAAGAGAGTACATTGTCTGGCCACCTCCTGTATGCCCCTCACTGGGGATTTGGCCCACAACCTGGGCATGTGCCGTGACTGGGAATTGAACCGACGACCTCTTGGTCAATGCATGGGTTGATGCTCAACCACTGAGCCACACTGGCTAGGCTAAAGCAATTTATAATTATTATTATTATTTTTATCCTCACCCGAGGACATTTTTCCATTTTTTGTTCAGATAGAGTGGGAGGGAAAGAGAGAGAAAAACATCGACGTGAAAGGGATACGTGTAGTGGTTGCCACCCGCACGACCCAGTCAGGGCCGGGGACAAACTGCAACCGAGGTACGTGCCCTTAGCGGGAACCGAACCTGGGTCTCTCTGGACTGCAGGTCAACATTCTAACCACTGAGCCAAACTGGACAGGGCTAAAGCAATTTTTTAAAAGGCTACTTTTATGAGAACAACCTAACTACTTTTACCTCACTGATTAATTCTCATAAATCAAAAGAATATAATATATAGTCATAATATTTTTTTCTAGATGATTTATGAAAAATATTTATTTTCTCCATGGGTATACAATACAAACAATATTAAAATCACATTAAATAAAAACAATTATAAACTTTTATTTTTTTTCTCCGAAAAATTTTACTTAGCTTATGATCACATTTTAAATTTTGTCATCTTAACCATATTCTCACCTCTGTCAAATCACAAGAGACAGATAGGGACAGAGACTAAGAACACATTGAGTTTATTGCAAAAAAAATAAAAAATAAAAATGCCTGCCATAAGGATGGTGAATATTTTTGTTTTGTTATAAAGAATAGCGGGTTATTCAAGAGAAGAATTCGCTGGTAAACTAACCTGGAGCAGAGGTGGGGTGGCATGCGGGGGAGGATAAAGAGGTGAAAATATTAGTATTCTTTTGTGACAATGATAGAATGGAATATTCCTCCTTTTCCTGAATGGTCAAAGGGGGAAATACTTATTTACTCCATTTGGAAAACAAAATAACAAAAAAAATTTATATAGATTTTTATTATTATTTTTTTAATCCTCATCCGAGGACATTTTTCCATTTTTGTGTACAGACAGAGTGGGAGGGAGAGAGAGGAAGAGAGAGAGAGGGAAACATCGATGTGAAAGGGACACATCGAGTGGCTGCCACCCGCACGACCAACCAGGGCCGGGGACAAACTGCAACCGAGGTACATGCCCTTAGCGGGAACCGAACCCGGGCCTCTCCGGACCGCAGGCGGACGCTCTAACCGCTGAACCAAACCGGCCAGGGCTTATATAGATTTTGATAACACAAATTAATTTTCTAAATCTATATATTTTACAATTCAATTAACAAAACGCATTGACACATTCTATAAATTGATTTATTGGTAACTATTTCTCATGGACTGGGTGTAGCTGTAATCAACAGTTTTGCAAAATATAGTTTAATGGCTCTTTGAAAGGCAGCAAAAGTGTGAATAGAAAAGAGCTGAGTTTTGGTTCTAACCATGTGTGGCTTTGGAGAGTGATATCAATTCTGACCTAGTTTATTAATCAAATGAGATTAACCTAGATCCTTAAAATACCTCATTCCTTTTGAATGTTTTAGAAAGTTAATACATGATATGACTACATGTATATATACTTTCAAGTAATTTATTTTTGAAAATTTGGTTCATGAATAACTGACTACACCGTTAAATTTTATTTTTTTATTTTTGAAAATTTGGTTCATGAATAACTGACTACACCGTTAAATTTTATTTTCTTAATATCTAAACAGACATTTTTGGCTTTTGGAATGGTAAAGATAAATATTGATTATGTATAGGTTTAAAATGTTTTGCTTTCATTAAAGGGACTATATATAACATTAATTTGAACATTACTTGTAACTTCAGTACGAATATCTTCAGAGGGTAACAGTAAGAAAATTTTACCGCATTTTCTTTAGAACACTAAGCAAAACAGTTGTTGAACCAATAAGAAGAATGCACCTCTTCCTAATTATTTAAACATATGTGTAAATAAACGAATGAGGAGTAAGCTCCCGGTTCTGCTGTAGTAATGCTAAGGGACAAGGGGTATTTGAAAACAGGTTATTTTCCCCTTACAGTAAAACAGGAGACAAAGGACTATATAAAAGTTGTGACTCAGCCTTGATGCCAATTTAGGAACATTGTATTCTGCTTGTTATCAGGACACCTGTCAATTGATCTCATTCTCTCAATTTTCCTAGCAGTAACCAAATCATAAACTTTGTATATAACATCTATTCTGAGAAAGATTTCTAAATTTACAGCATCCTGTTGTTGCACAAAGATTAAATAGAATAAAATAGGAGCATGAAAGCTGCTAATTGCCTTGTTCAGTGCACTTCTGGTAAAAATGACATGCTTTCAGACACTATATGTTAATTCAGCTTATAGAGATAAGTTTAAGAGAAGAGAGCTCTTTCTCTCGCTTAAATGGGACATCTTAGGAGCTCAGTGTCATGCCTAAACTGTGACTTCCATTTATCACCAAAAACTCTCACCTGAAACAACCAAAAGAATTGGAAAAATTATAGGAAATAAAGGTCTTCAAGATGCTGGACATATGACAGCAAAGGATAATGCTGCCTGAGAGTTCAGGGTGTGGGGAGCAGTGAGCCTTACAATTGTCTCAGCTTGTTGCTTTGAGAGAGTTTCCAGGCCATGGCTGGTGGGGGAGGGGTGGTAGGGAAACCAGGAGAAGCTTGATGGATCCACATAGTTGAGAGACAGAACTGAGAGTCTGCAGAGATCAAGGAAGCAGGTGTTTAGGTAGTATAGTATCTCAGTGGTGAAAATCTAACAGTGACACTACTGTGGAGGTCTGCAGGGGTTCCTGATCATTAATTCAGCAGAGCAGTAATCAGAGTATGCATTTGAGAATCTACCCTAGACTTGAGATAGAACTACTTATTAAAAATTACGTAAAAGAATACAGGGACTTACATTAGGCCAGATATAGGGCCTTTCCCACTTGCTATACTGGCAAGGTTCATAATTTCACTGGGTAGAGCATGCAGAAGAATTTTGCCTCCACCTAACATATTTTAAAAACAGGAACCAAAAGCATCAATCTAATTCCAGGAAACTTAACTATATTCCAGAGGAGAATTCAAGAATATTATAGGTATGTAAATAAATGAAGCATCCAACAAGGCAACATTTAAAAAGTTGGGGATATAGCCCTGGCCGGTTTGGCTCAGTGGTTGGAGCGTCGGCCTGTGGTCCGGAGAGACCCGGGTTCGGTTCCCGCTAAGGGCATGTACCTCGGTTGCAGTTTGTCCCCGGCCCTGGTTGGTCGTGCGGGTGGCAGCCACTCGATGTGTCCCTTTCACATCGATGTTTCTCTCTCTCTCTCTCCCTCCTTCTCTATCTGAACAAAGAATGAAAAAGTGTCCTCGGGTGAGGATAAAAAAAAATAATAATAAAAAAATAAAAAGTTGGGGATATAATAAAACATACTCAATGTGATAAGAAGCAGAAAAATTTGACCCATAAGGAAGAGAAAAAAACCAACCCATTGAAACTACCCCAGAACTAACATAGATGCCAGTATTAACAGAGAAAACATTAAAATAATTACCATAACTATCTCATATGGTGAAGAGACTATATGAAAGAGAAAATATTCTTGATATAGTTACTGATGACATAAAAAAGACAAAAAAATCAAACTTTTAGAGATGCAAACTTTAATATCTAAGGTGAAAAAATTAACTAAATGTTATTAATAGTGTAAACATGAGAGAAGAAAAGATTATGAACTTAAAGCAATAGGACTATCTGAAATTAATCATAGAGTGAAAAAATTAAGAAAGGAAGTGGCCTTCTACACTGGTGACTGAACTCTGAAAAGAGAGAAGTGAGAGGTAGTGAAAGAAATATTTCAAGAAGAAATATCCAACATTTATCAAAATTTGATTTAAATTATAGACCTGCAGTTCTAAAAAAATTAATAAACTGCAGCACAAAAAAGTGAAGAAAACTTTGGTACATTATGACATTGTTCAGGATTTTTTGTAACAAAAGAAATGTAAAGCCTATCAGAGAACTAAGACATTATATACACAGGAATAAATAAAAGGCTGACATATTTCTTACTGGAATTAATGCATTGAGATTACCGTGGTATAAAGTTTAAAGTAAAAACAAACAAACAAAAAACACACACAAAAGTTCCACATAATTCTATACTCAATAAAACTATCTTCAAAATAAAGGTGAATTTTCAGGATATACAAAAGTAACTAAAAAGAAAATGCTAAAAGAATATGTCTTGTGATTGAAATGTGCATAAATAAAAACTAATCAATAAAGTGTCAAATATTTACCTGTGTATAATGGGTACAAATTTTAGAACACTGTAGTCTATTAAAATTATAAAATATGCTTTCATTATACCAATGATTAATAACACTTTTTGGTGTAAGGTTGTATGAGTCACCTAACCAGATATTTTCTCCCATAGATATAAAAATTGGATGACAATGATATGAATTTGACAAACAGTGGTTGTGTTCCATTTGGCATTGGTTTGCCCATGCTTTTGAAATCTTCGCTAAACCTTCATCCCAACTCTGAAAGACAAAAATAATTTAAATTGAATTGTGCATATTTTTTTTGCATTAAAGTTATTCTAATTATTGTAATCAATTAAATTTTGTTTATTAGTTCTTTTAAATTGTGCTTCAGAAACACTCTATTACCCACGTGGTGACAGTTCATTTTTGTTTTTCTTGTACCTACCTGATGGCCTTGTACAGTAGAGCATTCACAAATATTTGAATGTGATTTAAATAAAAGTTCACAGTCTAGTAATTTAGAAAGTCATGCAAACATATCATAAGTAAAGGATGAGGACTTATTGATAATTAAAATGGGAAAATCTTCCTAGCACACTAGAAATAGAATTTCCTTAATTTAATCAAGAATTTATATATAAGAAAATCTAACCATACAGCAAGCATCAGTACAAAATGGTGAAATATTGAAAGCTTTCACCCAAGATTGGAAATGAAACAAGATGTATCATTATTTCTATTTAAAATTGTATTAGAGGTTAGGCTGTATAAAATATGTGCAGTATAAATATATAGGACAATAGATATAAAATGTCTAAAGATTGATTGGAATTTACCATTCACAGATGACATGACTCAATACATGGAAAATTCAAATCAATGTACAGGCAAGACTAAAAAAAAATAAGTGAAGTTATCAAAGTTTCTAGATACCAGGAAAATGTACAAAGTCCCAGGGGCATCCTCAGCACCCAACAATAACAGAGGATTGGCATCTGAGAGCACCCCCTGGCAACAGCAGCAGCAGCAGCAGTGTAAACCAGGAGCTGACGCTCACCCCCAGCAGCGACTGATCAGGAGCTGAGCCCCACCAGGCAGCAGAGTACCTCAGCAACACACCAGCAGGACCCATGCACCCCAGGAGCACACCAGTTGGATCCACACACTGCAGAAGCTACCAGCAGGATCCACAAACCACAGCAGAATACCAATAGAACCCATGCACCCCAGCAGTAAACCAGCAAGACCCACGCACCCAAGAAGTGCACCAGTGGGATCCACTCACCCTAGGCAGCAGCAGCACAAATTGGCAGCTGAGACCCATTCTCAGCAGCATCCGTAGAGGCTGATCAGGAGCAGTGCCCCAGTCCAAGCATCAGCAAGACTCGGGAAGCCAAGACTTGCATGACAGACCAATACCAGCTGCCAGTTGTCAATCCTCCAGGACCCATAGCAGGCAAGAGGTGCATTCACCAAAATAGTCTGGGAGGCACAGCAGCCTTATTTGATACACACCGACCTGCCTACACATTCCAACATTCATCTTTGGGCCTAGAACTACCAGATTGTTAAATGGTGAGACAAAGAAACAACACCCAAATGAAAGAAAAAGAGGAATTACCAGAAAAGGAACTACAGGTAATGGAAGAAAGCAATTTGTCAGATAAAGAATTCAAAGCAATGATTTTAAGGGTGCTTGGTGAGAACTACAAGCAACTTAATAAGAATTATGAAGAGCTCAGTAGGAACTACATAAGCTTAAAAAAAAAATAGAAGCTATGAATAATAATCAGGTGGAAATAAAAATGACATAGCTGTTATGGAAAAAATAGCTTAGAAGGGTTCAATAGTAGATTAGAAGAAGCTGAAGACTGAATCAGCCACCTAGAAGACAAAGTAGAAAAAAAGACCCAGATAGAGCAGCAAATGGGAAGAAAAATTAAAAAGCAGGAGGAGAGTTTAAGGGAGCTTTGGGACAATACAAAATGTAACATTTGTATCATAGGAGTACAGGAAGGAGAAGAATCAGAGAAAGGAATAGAGAACCTGTTTGAAGAAATAATGATAGAAAAGTTCCCTAAACTGGTGAAGGAAAAGTCATACAAGTCCAGGAAACACAGAGAGTCCCTAGCAAGATGAACCCAAAAAGACCCACAGCCAGACACGTCATAATAAAAATGGCAAACATTAAAGACAAACAAATAATCTTAAAGGATGCAAGAGAGAGACAGACAGTTTCCTACAAGGGAGCTCTCATTAGACTGTCAGTTGATTTCTCAATAGAAACACTGCAGGCCAGAAGGGAATGGCATGAAGTATACAAAGTAATGAAAGACAAGGGTCTGAATCCAAGACTACTCTATCCAGCAAGGCTATCATTTAAAATTGAGGAGAAATAAAGAACTTCAGAGACAAAAAAACAAAAAAAAAAAAAAAAAAAGCTAAAGAAACTTACCACCACCAAACCAGCACTGCAAGACATGCGGAAGGGACTGTTGTAAGAAGAAGCAGAAACAGAGAGTGAGAGAGAGAGGAACACAAGCAGAAAATAAAAATAGCAATTAATACGTATCTATGAATAATAACCTTAACTGTAAATGGCTTAAATGCTTCAATCAAAAGACATAGGGTAGCTGATTGGATAAGAAAACACGACCCAAATATATACTGTCTACAAGAGACCCACCTCACAACAAAAGAGTCACACAGGATGAAAGTGAAGGGATGGAAAAAAATTTTCCAAGCAAATGGAAATTTAAAAAAAAAAGCTGCTGTAGCAACACTAATATCTGATGAGATAGATTTCAAACCGAAGGCCATAATAAGAGACAAGGAAGGGCACTACATAATATTAAAAAGATCAATCCAACAAGAGGATATAACCCTGGTAAACATATATGCACAAAACATGGGAGCACCAAAATATATTAAAAAACTTCTGGAGGACTTCAAGGAGAGATCAATAGCAACACAATCATAATGTGTTGACTTTAACACCCCACTGATGCCACTCTATAAATCTTCGAGACAAAAAATTAACAAAAATACAAAGTCCTTAAATGACAAACTAAATCAGTTAGACTTAATTGACATTTACAGAATATTTCACCCCAAAGCTGCAGAATATACATTCTTCTCCAGTGCACATGGGACATTCTCAAAGATAGACCACATGTTAGGACACAAACTAAGTCTCTAGAGATTCAAGAAGACTGAAATCATATCAAGCATGTTCTCAGATCACAATGACAGGAAAATAGAACTCAATTACAACAAAAACTTTCAAACACTTGGCGGCTAAATAGCATGTTATTAAACAGCAAATGGGTTACCAAGGAGATTAAGGAAGAAATTAAAAACTCTTTGGAAACCAATGAAAATAAACACACAACAACACAAAATCTATGGGATGCAGTGAAAGCAGTCCTGAGAAGGAAGTTCATAGCACTACAGGCCTACCTCAAGAAACAAGAAAAATTCCTAATTGACTTTCTAACCCTACAACTTAAAGAACTAGAAAATAAACAAAAAGAAAAACCCAGAGCAAGAAGAAGGACATAAATAGTAAAGGTCAGAGCAGAAATAAATGACAGAGACTAAAAAAAACAATTCAAAAGATCAATGAAACAAAGAGCTGGTTCTTTGAAAAGATAAACTAGATTGATGAACCCTATGCCAGACTCACCAAGAAACAAAAAGAGGGCCCCAAATAAACAAAATCAGAAACAAAATAGGAGAAATAACAACTGATACCACAGAAATACAAAGGATCATCAAAACAGTATGAACAATTATACGCCAACAAATTGGAAAATCTAGATGAAATGGACAAATTTTTAGAAACACACAGCCTCTCAAAACTAAACCGAGAAGAGATAGAAAACTTGAACAGACCAATGACAACTAAGGAAATTAAAGATGTAATCAAGAAACTCCCCATAAACAAAAGCCCAATCCCGGACGGCTTCACCAGTGAGTTTAACGAACATTCAAAGAAGAGCTAATACCCATTCTCCTCAAACTACTTCAAAAAATCCAAGAAGACAGAAGGCTTCCAAACTCATTTTATGAGGCCAGCATGGTCCTAATTCCAAAACTGGATAAAGACACAACAAAGGAGAACTACAGGCCAATATCCCTGATCAATAAAGAGGCCAAAATCCTTAACAAAATATTAGCAAATTGGATCTAGTGATACATCAAGAAAGTTATTCATCATGACCAAGTGGGATTCATCCTAGGGATTCAAGGATGGTACAATATTCACAAATCAATAAATGTGATACACCACACAAACAAAATGAAAAATAAAAATCATATGATCGTATCAATAGATGCTGAAAATGCATTCGACAAAATTCAGCACCCATTTCTGATAAAAACACTCAGCAATGTGGGAATAGAAGGATCATATCTTGACATAATAAAGGCCATATATGACAAACCTACAGCCAACTTCATACTCAATGGGCAAAAACTAAAAGCATTTCCCTTAAGAACAGGAACAAGGCAGGGATGCCCACTTTCACCCTTCTTATTTAACATAGTACTGGAAGTCTTAGCCACAGCAGTTAGACATGAAGAAAAAATAAAAGGGATCCAAATTGGAAAGAAGGAAGTGAAACTGTCATTATTTGCAGATGACATGATGTTATACATCGAAAACCCTAAAGACTCCATCAAAAATCTACTAGACTTAATAAATGAATTTGGCAAAGCAGCAGGGTACAAAATTAACATCAAGAAATCAACATCATTCTTATACACTAATGATGAACTCACAGAAAGAGAAACTAAAAACACAATCCCATTTACCATTGTGGTAAAAAAATTAAGATACCTAGGAATAAACTTAACCAAAGAAGTAAAGGACCTCTTCACAGAAAACTACAGGTCATTGAAATAAGAAATTTTCTACTTTGTCTTCCAAGTGGCTAATTCGGTCTTCAGCTTCTTTTAATCTACTATTGAACCCTTCTAGGCTATTTTTTCCATAACAGCTATGTCATTCTTTATTTCCACTTGATTTTTATTCATAGCTTATACCTTTTTTTTTAAGCTTATGTATTTCCCACTGAGCTCTTCAAAATTCTTAAGTTGCCTGTAGTTCTCACTAAATTGTTTGAGCACCCTTAAAATCATTGCTTTGAATTCTTTATCTGACAAATTGCTTTCTTCTGTTCCCTGTAGTTCCTTTTTTGATGATTCCTCCTTTCCTTTCATCTGGGTGTTTTTTCTTTCTCTCACCATTTAACAATCTGGTAGTTCTAGGCCTG